TCATCTCTGAATTGACTAGCCCTGATTTACGGGCGTTACAGATTTACCCTAAGAATCAACTATCCTTCATCCATTCATTCCTAAGGATTGACCTAAGGAATTTATCCAAAGTCCATTGCTACCAAGGTTTACACGACATGCACTACGTCACATAGTCGCCAGGGATTATACAATAGGCACTACGTCGTATAGTCGCCAGGGTTTACTCAATAGGCACTATACGTCACATAGTCGCCAGGGTTTACTCAATAGGCACTACGTCGCATAGTCGCCAGGGTTTACTCAATAGGCACGAAGTCACATCGTCGCCAATGTTTACTCAATAGGCACGAAGTCACATCGTCACCAAGGTTTACTCAATAGGCACGAAGTCACATCGTCGCCAAGGTTTACTCATACCATCTTTCATCACACACCAACTATTTCATCTACCCCTATTCTACCCAACATTTTCGTAGATATAAATACATATACAGTTTAAATCATTTAAAACCTGCATAAAACATCAATTCCACACCCATTTCAAATAGACAAACAATATACATAACACATAGCACGTATTTCATGGCAAGCACTTCATATATATGTGTTAGAAGAAATTAACTACACACTCACTTGATTAGACGATGCTCGGACAACATTACGGCCCTTCAAGTACTATTCTTCGGTGAAACCGGGATATCTTCACACACCGGGCTTCTCGCGGGCAGAGCTTCGGCTAGAAAACTCTTTTCTTCTCGGGATCTTTGGAGCGTCGGGACTCGCTTCGGGTATCGGGGATGATACCGGGGCTTCGGGGGGGGGGGGGGGGGGTTAAAAGAAGGCTTAAAGATGAGTAGAGTAGGAGAGAGGTTGAGAAATTAGCAACCAAAACCGGCTGCCTTCGGTTTCTATTTATAGGGCTGAAAATTCAGTTTTCACGTCGTGAACCATCATTTCACGTCGTGGCTTTGGACGTCATCAGGTGCGTAGTCGCGATGTTCAGTCTGTCAGGCTCCAGAAGACGCCAGCACTGAGTTCACGTCGTGAACCCCCTTTTCACGTCGTGAACTCTGACACAGTGTTGGGGTTCGCGCCCCGAACTTCAGAAATTCATAACTTTCGCATACGAGCTCCGTTTTCGACGTTATTTATATCCACG